AAGATTCGGCCAGCCAGGAATTCGCAGCATGCGCCCTAGGGTTTTATCAGTGAACGTGTAGAGTTTTTTTATTAAAAAAAATAATAACTATCCTGCATGCTGATAGATTCAGATGGGTAGCCATGTTGGTCTGGAGCAACAGAACAAAGTTGGTGTCCAGTTCTGACACCTGAGTTCCCGGTCTCCCAAATTATGCGATGAGGCTAAGGAATATGCCTCAGGCTTGTGGGCCTCCTTTCACCCTTCCAGCTCATGTGGACTCCCTCCCTCCCTTCTTTAGCTAGCTGTACATCCCCTTTAGGAGCTGCGGTGGCTCAAGTTGTTAAGACGCTGAACTGCAGGCTGTGGAAGGCCGGTAGTTCAGCAGTTCGAGACCCGGGTGCTGCATGACGGAGTGAGCTCCCGTCTCTAGTTCCAGCTCCTGCCAACCTAGCAGTTCGAAAGCAAGACATTGCAAGTGGATAAATAGGGACCACTTCGGTGGGAAGGTAACAGCGTTCCGTGCGCCTTGGTGTTTAGTCATGCCGGCCACATGACCACAGAAACGTCTTCGGACAGCGCTGGCTCTTCAGCTTGGAAACGGAGATGAGCACCGCAACCCTAGAGTCGGACTCGACTGGCTTTCGAGCAAGGAAACCTTTACCTTTCTACATCCCCTTTGGAGAACCAAGTTTGAGTCCAGTGACACACTTAGGACCAACAAAATTGTATTCATGGTATAAGCGTTTGTGTGCCAGCACACTTCTTCAGATACAGAGGAACAAAGTTTGAGTCTAGTGGCACCTTTAAAACCAACAAAGTTTTATTTATTTATTTATTATTTATTGAAGAGGAGGAGGAGATTGGTTTTATACCCCGCCCTTCACTCGGAGTCTCAGAGCAGTTCACAATCTCCTTCCCTTCCTCTCCCCACAACAGACACCCTGGGAGGTCGGTGGGGCTGAGAGAGCTCTTTCCAGGACTGCCATTGAAAGAACAGCTCTGGCAGAACTACGGCTTGCCCAAGGTCATCCAGCAGCTGCATGTGGAGGAGGAGTGGGGGAATCAAACCCGGTTCTCCCAGATTACAGTCCACGCTCCTAACCACTACACCAAACTGGTTCTCTTTGTTGATCTTAAGGGTGCCTCTGGACTCGAATTGTGTTCTGCAGCTTCAGAGCAACACAGCTACCCACCTGAATCTATTCCCAATGGAGTTAGCTTTCAAGTCGGGATTTCTGACCATCCTCGAGGGGAAGTCCTTGTATGTCCAAACTGGGGATTGGGCAACGTAACATCTGAATTTTGCCCCTGTCCTAGGGAATCCCCACAGATGACTGTCCACCCTGTGTGGGGAAACCATCAGTAGGAGAAAGACTCTTGCTTGAGTCACTAGTTTCCTTGCCGAACCCTTCTCGCTGTTAGGAAGCATCTCCTAATGCAGGGTTCCCCAACACGGCGCCCATGGGCAACATGAGGCCCACCAAGTGTTTTTTGAAAGTGGGCGAAGTCAGGTGGGGCTTTTGCCCCGCAAGGCTTCTGATTGGCCATGGGAGATTTGATTGACTATGCAGATTTTTAAGCCGCTGCAGCGGTTGCCACCCCGGCACCAGAATCTTCACCATACGACTGAATACAAGCTGTGTATCTGCAAGAAGATATTTTTGAACAATGTGTTCATTTTTAAAAGCCTCCTGTCAAGCAGAGCTTCGGCCTGAAATGTTGAAGAGTTCCTATTAGAATTATGAATGGCCTCCCTCCCTGAGAATTTAGGGCTGGCTTCACCTCTGGTGGCAGCCGTTCTGTGGTTGCGTCCACCATCCAGTATCGGAATTCTATGCAGGGGTCATTTTGTAGAAAAAGAGGTGCAGGACTTCCGGTTGATGGCAGCACACTAGACAGACGCATCTCCCGGACCTCCTGGGGATGCGGTCTGTGCATGGCGGGAAGGAGGGGGAGCGCTGGCCCGTTACGCCCCCAGGGAGCCTGGCGGAAGGCTCCTAGCCAGGGGACTTATGAGGAGTCGCCTCTTCGCCTATGCATTATGGGTGAATTGAGGCGCTCCTCTGTCCCAATGGTCCTTCCTGCACAGTGCCCGAATGGGACCTACTGACGCTGACCGGGGCAAGCGTAGGAGATCGAGCGGATGAAATGAAGTAAAGCGGTGTCGGAAGACCAGATATGAACGTGAGTCTGACTGAGCGAAATGATGGTTAAAGAGAAAAAGAAAGCTCCCTACCCCATGTTGAAAAACGGAAAGTGAAGCGGGTGAGGGAGGGACGCCTCCTAACTGCATGAACTTTTGAGCGAATCGAGGAAGGGGAGTGGAAGAGAGGGCAAGCATAACTGCTAAGAAATACTTACCAAGGCGAGTTCAGGCGTTTGAGCGCATATTCAGAGACTTTCAAAATATTTTCCAAAATAAACAACTGAGAAAGATGGC